AAGAATAAGATAAAATATATAAATTAAAGTTGAAAATAAAATAACTGTACAACAAAATACACAATATAGAACTATATAAGAATGTATGAAGAAATATAAATAAATAAATACACAATAACAGCATTATTATTCTGTCATTATTGTTCATTACTGTCAGTTACAATGACTGTATGAATTGTAATGACACGACACTCACAGACACACAGGTCTGTTCAACATCACAAACCGCTGGTTGTCCCTCTTCCTCTCCCTCACAGCTCGTCTTCCTCCTCACTCTCAGGACTGTCCCTCTCTGCATCCTCTCCAACTAACTCCTCTGTCTCTCTGTCATCCTGCTCCTCAGCTCCTCCTCATCTCCATCCTCTCTCTCTACATCGTTCTCCACTGGCCCCTGTCTAAAGCCACCTATGCACTGGGGGGGGTTATGTTCAGGGATTTATGATGTTTGTAGTAAAAGAAGAGCAGCTGAACCTTTCTTCTTTGTTTTTCTTCTCTTTGACGATGATTCGTCCATCACTGACGTCTTCTTTTCTCACTGCTGAGCAGACTGCAGCTGATCGCTCTCTGCACATGAAACACACAAAGATAAATAAACCAGTGCAGGTTTTTGCAGGTAGAACAGCTGTTAGCAGTGCTGCCACACGTGTGATATAAAGAAGAGTCGTAGCATCACAAACATCTTTCTTAGAAACTGGCAGCAGTTTTCAGCAGCTCACATTTTACTACAAGGTCCAAAACCAAGACTCTTTCTAACGTTACACACACACTACAATCAGCACTGTGGTGAGAAATGAGCTTCACACATCAGTCCTGTGGAGCTCAGGGTCAATGTTGTAGCTGAGATTCATTTACATGATGTTTGGATTCATTCACTGAATTCTACTTTTACTCCACCTGTTTGCTGTCTGGTATAAACACACTATAAACAACATGTTGTGAAGACACTATGGCAGGATAGCTCGTGAAACATCTGCTCACATCTGGTTGAATTCAGTTGTGTACATCCACAAAGAGCAGCAGGTCAGCTGATCACAGCCTGGACACTGAAAACCTGAAGCTCACGTTAGAAACGACTCTGATTATTTTCCTGTGCTGAGCCACTACAAACACTTTGAATGTTCCCCACCTGCTGAATCCACTTTAACCCTGACTGTACAAATAGAACATCTTTGTTTTCCTCTGCTCATGTTCTACTTCACTGATTCAAACTGAGGATCTATATTAGAATGAACATTTAGACTGAAAGGGTTCATCAGAAATCCAGAAATGTGTGTGTTGGACCAAAAATTAATTTCTGATGTTTCTGTGTTTTTCTCTAATATGTTTATAAAGTTTATATAGTTAAACAGACTGTAGTGAACAGGATTTATGAATGAGTTATAAATAAAATAAAGAAATGAGCTGCTGTTGAAGTATCTTGATGACACTGTGTAATTGTACCACAATGTAATGAATTCAGTCCTTTGTGGTGACTTAAATGTCCTCATACAACTATGATGTTATATTTCTTCAAACTTCTTGGCCACATCTCATTTTAAAAGGACATTTTAATATTAATGACACTTTTACCCATATATATA